TTGATTTTTTTCGGACTGTGAAACCATAACCCTGGTTATATTCGGACCACAGCCTATGATTGTTCTAGTGGTTAATTGTTGTTAGAATTAGTCGTCAGCTGTTGTCATTTTCTCTGATTATATTGTTGTGTGCAATTTTGAGTACTGTCTTTTTTTTTTTTAAAGATAATTCCCCAAGTCAAAAATTTAGAAACTATGTTGGCAACAAGCCTTTTCTACACAAAAAATTTGAAAGCATTGACAATTTTTCATTGTATTGCCAACATAATGTCATTATGACTTTTATCTTTAAAAAAAAACACACTTTACTTAAAATTTTACCGATTTGTTTTTGACATTTGTCATTACTTTGCCTCATCTCTATTCTTCAAATCTAGGACAGCATCTCTGAGGACAGCTAATTGATTACTTTTGGCAAAGTTTCTTTTGGTGAATCTTCCTTTTACGATTTGGTTGATCCGAGAAAAGGGTATCTCTTAAAGAATTTAATTTTATCTTCGCCCTAAAGGGGATTTTGGACCAAATTTTCTCAGTTATTGAATTTATGGTACATTGAGTTGCCTTACGTTGCGTTCCGTTTACGTAAAGTGACATAATTTCGCCGATGATTTTGGATTTTTAAAAACCATTTCGGTAAGTTTTCCTTTGCACGTTTTTTTCCGCAAAAGATTCTGACTTTCTCTATTTGATCATCAGTGAAAAACTGCTCTAGAAACCACTATATTTTATCCAGGATGTCGAGTCCAGACTTATCCAGCGGATAAGAGTATTTTTGTGGCAAATAAAACCCTATTCCAACAAGTGAGACATAATCTAATAACCTCAAATTTTCTTTGCAAACTCGAGGCACATATTCTTTTCTGGTAAGGCTTTATCTGATTTTGCCTAATTTGATTCCATTTTTTCCATTTTCAGCCGTTTTCTATCCTTAGGATATAGGCCTCTTCCAAATTTGACCATTGTCTTCGGTTTTGCGCAACTCGGTACCAATTCAATCCTGCAACCCTCTTTCTATCGTCGTACCATCTTTGTTGGGGTCTTCCAACACCTCTCCTCTCTTCCCAAGGTCTCCATCTAGTGATATACCCGCTCCAGTTTTCTGTATGTCTGGCCACGTGTCCTGTCCATTGCCATTTTAGGGAACCAATTCTTTTTATTATGTCGGAGACTTTGGTTCTTTTCCTTATCCATGTATTTGTTTTGTGGTCTCTCAGGGAAATTCTTAAAATTCGTCTTTCAATGGCTCTCTGATGTACTTCCAATTTGTGTTTAATTCTTCTGGTTATCACCCAGGTCTCGCAGCCATACGTGACAACAGGCAGTATACACTCGTTATAGACTTTTCATTTTAAAGTCATTGGAATATTCATGCTGAAGATGTACTTTAACTTGCCGTAAGCCGCCCATCCCAGTCTAATTCTCCTATCAATTTCCATTTCTTGATTTTGTTTGCCCGGTGTTATAGCTTGGCCAAGGTATATGTATGTTTCTGTCTTTTTTATTGTGCTGTCATGGATCGGTATTGTTTCGTCTGCATCTGGTGTATTTGTAATAAACTGGGTCTTTGTGTAGTTCATGTGTAATCCTACTTTTGCCGCCTCATCTTGTAGTTCTTCCAACATATCTGTCAATTCCTGTTTGTCTTTCGCGAACACGCGAACAGTACAATATCGTCGGCAAATCTTAGATTGTGCAGGCGTTCACCATGTATGTTCAATCCTTTGTTTTCCCATTGTAGCTTTTTAAAAATATCCTCGAGCACTAAAGTGAATAGTTTTGGAGATATTACGTCCCCTTGCCGAACTCCTCTTTTGGCGTTTATTCTTTCAGATGATTCATGAAGTCTTATCGACATTGTCGAAGTCTTATAGATGTTTTCAATAACGTTGATCCACTCTGGCATCCCTCAAGGATTTTATTATTGCCCAGATTTCCACTGTGTCGAAGTCTGTCCGGAAATCGACAAAAGCCATCCATAGGTTTATATTATATTCTGTAGCTTTCTCGATCATCTGCTTTACTTTGTGTAGATGTTCTGTCGTGCTATAATGGCTTCGGAATCCAGCCTGTTCCTTTGGTTCGTAAACTTCGAGTTTTCGCTCTAATCTGTTGGTGATTATTCTGGTGAATAATTTATATATTTGTGATAGTAAGTTTATCGGCCGGTAGTTTTCGAGATCAGTCGGGACACCTTTCTTGTAGATCAGAACAACTACAGCATTCTCCCAATCTTTGGGTATATGTCCTTCTGTTAGGCACTTATTGAATAGTTTCACTACTTCTTGTCTCGTCTTAGTATCGCTTTCCTTGAGCATTTCAGGCAGAATGTTGTCTTCTCCTGCCGCTTTACCATTTTTCATCTGGGATAACCCTTTCTCCAGTTTTTCCATATTTATGTCGGGCATTTCTTCTGAGTTTGCATTTACTATTCGTATTTTGTCTTCCCTTGTCCTTGTGTTTGCTATTTTAGATTCGTACAGATCTCTATAGAAAGATTCCACAACTTTTAGTATCTGTTGTCTGTCTTCTACTATGTTGTTTTTCGCATCTTTTATTTTGGTTATCTCTTTCTTAGGTGTGTTATGTCTTTTAAATATATTTAGTCCCTTGTTCTGTTCTAACAGGGATTGCACTTGTTTCGTTTGATGTTTTAGTATATCCTGTTTCGCCATTTTTCTTGCTATTGTTATCATCTAATGACTCTTCTGTTTTTCCTGGATTGTTGGAAAAGTTTTGTTTCAGCCTTTGTTTGTATGTTTCCCTTCTTTCTGCTATCTTTTCTCTACTTCCTCTCTTCGTCGTTTGTTTCATCTTTCTTTTTCTTTCCATTTTTGTGTTTATGAGCAATTTGCATCTTACCATCACTGCCGGTGTTGAATTGGTTGACTACATCTACGTCTTGGATTATCTGTTTATGGCGGGAGATTATAAAGTCAATCTCATTTTTGGTTTGTCCATCTGGGCTATTCCATGTCCATTTACGTTTGTCTTTCTTTTGGAAGAAAGTGTTCATCAGATAGAGTCTTTCTCTTTCTAGGAAGTTTGCTAACATTTTCCCCTTTCATTTCTGGTGCCGAGTCCGAACTGTCCTATGTGTTTCCGTTGGTTCTGCTTCTCTGCCTATTTTTGCATTAAAGTCTCTTCCTAGAATAGTGTGCGTCGTTGGGTTCTCTCTTATTGCTCTTGCTATGTCTTCGTATACCGTTTCCGCCTCGTCATCTTCATGTGAGGAAGTTGGAACATAAGCTTGTATATATTTTAGCGTTATATTTTTATTTATATTGATTACGACATATATTACTCTGTCAAATATTGTTTTCAGGATTTTCAAGTTTGTCGATAGTTTTTTTATTTATCAATATTCCAACTCCTCCATTGTTATCATCATCCTTCCCCCTGTAGACCATAGTATGCCCGGAATCATCTGGTATTGTTCTCCTTTTCTCCTTGTTTCGGCTAGTCCTACAATGTCCCAGTTTATTTTCTCCAATTCGTACTCTAATTCAACTAGACTTTCCTTAGTTCCGATTGATCTTGTGTTGTAAGCTGCAATGTTTAATAATTGTGTTTTCTTTATGGATGTCGTTCTTGTGCCTCCCCCAGAATCCATGAGGCTGACCGAGGTATCGGTGTGGGATTGTGAGGTACTTCTACCCACCTGGGGTACATTTTTTCGTTTTGAAGTCGACATATTTGAAAGGTTTTGGCAATTAAATCACCACGCTCGCCGGGCGGTGGGTTTTTGTATCAGCCGCTCCTAACCTGAAGAACAGACGCTGTTTGCAGCCGCCCACTCTGGGTCAGACGCTGCGTGGGAATCTTCTTCGTTTCACCTCTTCGAGACCTTATCGGCATGGGTGGCCCTGCCGGTAGCTAGGCTACCGCCGACATCGCTCCCTGGATAGAGGTTACTCAGCCCTCTCACCACGTCAAGGTCAAGATTCTCCTAGAGAGGGCCAATTGTATATACTAATTTGATTACTTATTATCATATATACATTTATTATTCAATTTTTCTATTACAATAATTTTCAAAAGCTATAGTTTCACCTAGTAAATTTGATATCAACAATTGAATAAGTTGCAATGGAAATTAATTTTCTTTTCTTTCATTCTGTCTATTCATAAACTGCCTGGCTAAGGTTAAGTTACAAATACAGTGTGTTAAATTTTTCTCTTAGCCTAAGCCTTTCAGTTGGACGGTTGCACAATCCTTCCGGACTGTGAATTTGAACCTTAAGATTGGTTTGACCACCTTAACCACAACCAGTACCCAAGACTGTTTAATTGCACCTGCTGCTATAACATTTTGGTATCGTTCTAGGTTTAGTTATCCTACCTTTTTCATTTTTTTTCATTTAAAGTTACTGAGTGATTTATAGTATCTACATTTTGCCCTTATTTTATGCGCCAAAGTGATCACCGCGGTATTTTGGGGAGTAATTCAGTACTTGTACCAATGAACATTGAGTTTAAAAATATTCGAAAAAAAAAAGCCATAGATAATAAGGAAAAATAGGGTACTAGATGGACTTTTTAGTCAGCACCGACAATATCCTGTTAACACCCACATGTTTATCGGCTAAGGAGGACAATGGTAAGAGGCTGTCATTTCAATACTAGGCACTGAAAAATAAAAATATCTATAAACAAAGGATCAAATATCACTACAGCAAAATTTGTATCGTTATTATAATATAAGTAAAGCCTGAAGCTTAAATATATAAACGAGCCTATCTAAGTTTAAAAGGTCATTACCGCAAACAGCGCTTATGTATGAAGCGAAATCGTAGATTTGTATCAGCAAAAACTTATTTACCCTTTTGCTAGATAACCAATTCCCAGTTCAATTTCCGGTTATACCAGAATGATCATTTGCGCGCCAATATTGACTTTATCTTATTGACTTTATGCAAAATGCCAATGAATATTTTAGCTTTTTTAAAAAAGCTTGAGAAAAATCCAATTTCCGGACGTTTAATTTTATCTGATAAACTTACTCTGTAACTTCCAGTTGATCGGCTACCTCCACCGATCCTAACTTGTAATAAACTTTATGCAGCAACTGATGTCCTTGTCCACCGGATCCTCTCCCATCTATTTGGGCTAGTATAAAATCCTTGTTTCCTGGAAAATATGTTTTTTATCAACCGATATACCAACGAACCGAAAAATAGTAATTGCAATAAGACGTAAAAAAAAATTAACCTGTCAAATATGTATTCCAATCCACCCGCCATCGTTCGGTAACTAATTGGCTTCCTGGTCCTCCATACACTTGCACAACTAAAGGATATCTCGTTATCTCGTCTTCTCTCAAACCAGGCGGAAGATGTAATCTAATATAATAGTAAAAATGTGTTGAACAATTTTATTAAGGGTAAATACTAAAATACTATAAGCATTTCCAATTAGGCAATCCAAGGACCTGTCCAAATGGCGTCTGGTTGGCAAACAATAAACAAAAAACATATGTTTTTTTTTGACAGAATTAAGCCTAGTACACACAACAGCGAAATTCGCTCTTTTTTGACAATGCTTCGACAATTTGACATTTTATGCGCGAATCAAACGTCAAATTGTCGAAGCAATGTCAAAAAAGAGCGAATTTCGCGGTTATGAGTACTAGGCTTTATCAATACACGGAGCGACTACTCAAATCTGACACTTTTCTGACATCGTTGACATGTAACAACCCGTATTCTAACCTCATAAAAATTTCAAAATGCCGGCTGGTTGGCAAAAGTCACGTGGTTTGGATTCCCTAATTAATATAATATATGAAGCTCAGTATAGGAGCTATACCTATGTGTATTCCTATTTTAATTTCAAGAAATATAGATTTATTGATAAAGTGTTTCCATTCGGGCTTAATTGCCGTCGTAAGTTGGAATTTCATCCTGATGTTTCGCTAGCACGCGTGGCTAGCATCTTCAGAGGTGCTTCCATGTCCGATTCTGGTAGCAGACTGACGCGTTCCCGACCGCAAGTTGTATTTATGGGTGAGTGGTTGTGGTGGGGGAGGGGCGGGGCTTTGCAGCACGTGGCTAATCTGAACTTCTCTGTACTCAATGGGATCTTTCTTGCGTTTTTGAAGCTCGGGTTCCAAATTTCGTAAAATAGTGTTTCTTCTGTCCTGTTGAAGTTCTCGCATGTTTGTGGATTTCTATAGCTTCACGTATCTGGAAGTCGGTGCGAGAAGCTTGACCTCACCAAATAGTAATTCCTGATTCCTTCCACTAAGCGCATGTTCCGCTACTACCGATTTTTCCGTTTGTCCTATTCCTCAGTTTCTTTTGTGCTCGTTGATCCTGGGACCTTACCACATGTGCATGGTATACATAGGAACAACAAAAAGATCCATGGGAACCAGGATCAACGAGCACAAAAGAAACTGCGGAATAGGAAAATCGGAAAAAGCGGCAGTGGCGAAACATGCGCTTAGTGAAATGAATCACAAAATGCTACCTATTTGGTGAGATCAAGCTTCTTGCACGTGAAGCTATAGAAATCCACAAACATGCAGAAAACTTGAACAGGAAAGAAGAAACACTAAAACTTAACCAAACTTGGAACCCGATCCTCAAAAACGCAAGAAGGATCCCATTGAGTACAGAGAAAGTTCAGATTAGCCACGTGATGCAAAGCCCCGCCCCTCCCCCACCACAACCTCTCATACATAAATACAACTTGCGGTCGGGAACGCATCAGTCTGCTACCAGAATCGGACATGGAAGCACCTCCGAAGATGCTAGCCACGCGTGCTAGCGAAACGTCAGGAAGAAACTCCAACTTACGACGACCATTGAGCCCGAATGAAAACCTCACAAACTTTATCAATATAGATGTATTTAATATGAGATAATGGGAAGCCATCAAAAGCAGAAATATATCCGATTGCGTTATCTTTTATTATGCGATTCTTTTATATTCGCTTTGCTTTTTGAAAGTAAACGACAAGTCAAATTTAATTGACGCTTAAGCCAAAGGGCCTGTCTTGATTAAAACACTTTTTACCATCATGATGTTTTTTTTTTTTAAATTATTTTTTACAACAAATAGCTTTCCTTATTCATTTGCATAAAGGAGGATTTGAAGATTGAAAATAGCCAAAAAAAATACTTTCTATAATTATTTCTATTTCAAAGGCATGCGAAGCTAATTAGCTGGTCTTGTTTGTTATCTTCTTGGGCTGTAGCATGATTTCTGCATATTTTACTTTTTCGCTCCCTCGCAAATGTGCATCCAGCTTTAATCCTCAGCTTATTTCTCCACGACCCGGAACGTTATCAGAAATCAAGTCACTGGAAATCGTGCTGCAGCCTAAGTAGATAACAAACAACATCTGACAATACAATTATTATGTGAATATTTAAAAGGTGAAATACATAAATTTCCAGTATTGTTTGTTAGTTCAATTCTCAAATGTCAAATAAGAAAAACGTCCATAATTCATTCGGAAAGTCTTGTTTTTCCTACTTGTTATAAATTTCCCTTTTTTTCAAACAAACTAATAAGTCAATATTTATCTAGTAAGTTCGATAATAATAATATTAATTATCTTACCTTACATGCGCTTGATAACCACCTGAAATTTGTACAGGAAAAGTTTTGATTTGTGGCATTGCCATTTTGGCAACTTTCTCTTTCAGTCTGGTATTATTTTGTAACCACATCAATAATTTTGGTTTTGGCATGTTACTTCTGTAAAGTCTTGTTGTTGGCACTCCTGGTCCTAAACATTCTAGGACGAAATATTGCGAATTTGAGCTAAAATATTTCCAAATGAATTTTTAAATAGTATTTCAATTCAGTGGGTATCTACACAAAATCGTGGGTGGCTAAAGTTCTCAAGGCATTTAAAATAACTAACCTGAATACTGCATTATGATATAAACAAGGAGGGTCTTTCTCAACCTCTTTCAGCTTCTGTTTTCTCTTTTTTCGTGGCGCTGGTGTCGTTATCACAGTATCTTCATCATCATCTTCCCAGTTACCTATTTTTTATTTTTGATAAACATCGTTATAATTTATATTTCCTTAAAGTTAAACTTACTCTTTTTAAGTTTGAAAATATTATCGTCCATCAACGTGATATAAGGAGGTGCAGTAGGCAGAGGTACTCTGATACATGTTATACAAACTGGTGGAGGTAACGTAGCGCCAGTACGAGGTGGTACAGATGTTACTCGGTAAAGATGGAGTTCGCCAGGTTTTCCTTCCGGCACTCCCAAAAAATAACTATAAAGTAGTAAATAAGTTTTCAAATAACTAACCTAACTTTTCCTACAAAAAAAAGTTTTGGATAATAACATGAACAGAGTAGTTTTATCTATATGCGACTCTTAAGTTAGCTATACCCTGGTAGTTGTGTTTTAAAATTTTATGTTTTTATTTTCATCCATTTGTATTCGGTTTAAATTTAAGTTTTTGAAACTAAAGTGTACCTAATAAAACTTTAAACATTCGTTGCGTTCCTTATTTATTTATAATTTTTAGTAATATTTGAATAGAAACATAAGGTTTCATAATATGAATAAAACAGAAACAAATGCTTATGCTTAAGTTTTTTGGGATGAATATATTCAGCTTCAATGCTACACTTTATTCATACGACTGAATTACTCGCGGACGTACATAAAATCTTATATGTACCACAGGCGTAAAGCAAACACACCTATTGCGCATTTGGTACATGAATAACTAGTAACTTGAAAAATAATTTATATTTGTTATATTTCACCAACATATTATTAATAATAAGATACCTATATTTAATATTATAATTTTATGATTGTTTGATTTGTCATGCGCCAATGAATAAATACGTAGTTAATAATCAGACAGAAAGCTATATAGTTCATCCAGAATATCAAACAAATTATGGAAGAATAGGAAAAAGCATTGAAAAGATCAAAATTGCAATTAGACCGAAATAGCATGAAAACTGGAGAAATGTCACGTTAGCAGCGCCAGCAATGAGAAATGGAAAAAAAAAGAATTATTGGAGTCTTGGAATATTGGATGGTAATTCAAAAAAAAACCTGGATAGAATTCCAAAGTTGAAATTGAAATATCAGAACAATTATTAGAGCCTGATATTATTAATTATGTCTTTCTACATATTATCTACAAAATTAAACAAACTATACAGAAAATAGTATATTATGTAATGATCGTGTATCTAATGATAGCCATCACATCAATACACGAGCATGATGTAGGATACGAAGCGAGCCGCAGGCAAATTTCGAATATAACATGCGAGTGTATTAATGGCAATTACATGAGAGCTGCATACACTATTTTTTCTACTCCCATTAATAAACGAAATACATTCATCATGAAAATCCGAGTGAAAAACTGTATCATAATGGAGTTCATTTTGAAACATATTCCAATCTTTTAATTAGCGTATTATAAAATAAGAGTAGATAAATTCAATTTATAACAAAACTAAAAATAAGTTACATCTGAGATTTGAAATGTCAGATATACCCAAGGTAAAGAAACCAACCTTGCACCATTCGGTACATAGTGTATCGTTAGTTGTTACCATACATTCGCGAGTCAAATGATGGCAGCCTGGTAGCCAGTTCAGATCGGAGACTGCCCAGTATTCAAATACTATTCTAAGTGAAAATCCCCAAGAAATATTCCTATTGATTTAGGGTCAAGCTGGCACCACTTGGTACAAGATGTACCGTTACCAGAACTCGGAAAGTCAAATCAAGGCAAACCGGTACCGATCCAAACACAAACGCATGTCGCTATACTTGCACCTCGTGAGTGCGGTGTCGGTTTCACAAAAAAAAACTGAGGCTTCCTTTGCAAAGTCTACAAGCGTCGTCAGGATGATTTCCAAGAAGATATCAATGGTCTGCTAGAAGGCAGATTGGGAGTGGGAGAAGAGCTTGAAGCTTCTCTTTAGTGGGTCAATAGCTTTTCTTCGACCGAGGTGGTACCACCTCTCGCTTCCATTCTAGTCCTGTAAATTCGATTTGAACTGTCTGAACCTGAAGCGTGACGTTCGATTTTCAACACTCTATCCCTGTCTCTCCTTTATTTTTATCCTACTTTTTATATTTTTATCCTGACTTCTTGGATTACAAATGATGATGGACATCCTTCGTGCAAACAATTCCAGAGTCAAAACTTCCATTCAGATCTCCGGGAGAAGGGTGTAGGTACAAGGGGCGTCTATATCAAGTTTACAAAATCCAATTCTCTAACATCAGAGGTATTAACGCTAACTTAAACTCAATGCAACATCTTCATCTTGAGCACAAAAATCCGCATGAGCTGGTCTTAACGGAGACGCAAGTAAAATCTTTTGTCAACCCAATCCATCCCATATTTTCCGGCTATGAACTCCATACGCGATTTGGCTTTAAGGACCATTAAGGGAGGAATTTGCGTCTCTTCTCCCAGTGAGCTATCTTGATGCCGAATCATCTGATCGCGATGTAATTTGGCTAAAAATTACTTCTACGAAGATGGCGAAATTTGTTTGCTGCGTGTATTTTTCACCCAATAACGTCAGTTATGAACTTCTATTCAAGAACCTGGAAAGTTCATTTAATTCTATCCTGGAGACCCCTCCTGAACTCCCAGATTGTATTCTTGGGAGCTTTTGAGGTTCATAATTCGAGTTTAATGATACATTGTAAACTCGAATGGCGGAGTGCGCAGAAAAGATTCGCGTACCAGTTCATCTGCTGATCTCGAGCCCTGCCGTTTAATAATAGGTTGTATTCTCCAATTACAGTGTGCGCAAAAAGAATGCGCATGCGAGTTAAGCTGCTGATTGCTGTTTATGCTGTGCCACTAATCCCGATCCTTACATGATCGTTATCTGACCAAAAATTGATTTCCGCTCAAAGTTCGTTTGTTATACATACCCTCAGCCCCTGCTCCAATACCTCGTAGGGTGTGGCAATATGGAGCTGGGATGTTTGTTTTAAATCCAAAGATTCCTCCGAGGCTGCACAAGAGGTTCCGAAATAATTTCCTTAGGTATGAAATTGTGCATTCCATACTCCAATAAAACATCTGCTGGAAAACCCATTTTTTACAGTGTGCCCGAGCGGTTGCAAAGAAGAACATCGCATGTCATGCCTGCCGTAGAAACGAGGCCAAGCAGTTACACAACCAACAAGTGCGTAATCGGCTTTCGGACTGCCCCAAATTTCACATCTCCTTCCTTTCCACCTCTAGTTAACGACAATAATTCCATTGTAGTATCGTCAAAAATTGCGCACATGAATTTGTTTCAGTTCTTTGCAAACTGTTTTCACTCTTTTACAGTCGAGTCGTTTTCCCGTCTATCTGGAAATATGACACAGTGCAGCCCATCCCGAAAAAGGGCAAGAAAACTATTCCTAGTAATTATCGTCCAATCTCACTTATATCCATACTTTCGAGAGTAGGTACCTAATGGAAATCGCAGTCAACCTGAAACTGGTTAAATACCTCGAAGCCAGTGAGCTTATCTCTGACAAACAGTACGGGTTTTGTTCTTTCGTTCTAAAATATCAACAGAGGATCTGCTGACGTACGTCATATTTGGAGCTCGACTCTCAAAAGCATGGCGATTCTAGAATTATAGCATTGAATATTTCCAAGGCTTTTGATCAGGTGTGGCACGAAGGTCTCAGCAAACTTCCATCGTATGGTCTTTATAACGAACTTGGCCATTAGTTTGGGAGCTTTTTGGAAGGCAGATTACTGCATTTTGTGGTCGATGGCGTGTCTTCTGATAACTGCATATAAATGCCGGTGATCCCTAAGGCTCAATTCTGTCCATAACACTGTTTCTCATTTTCCTAAATGATTTGTTAAATTTGACAAAAATTTCCATATAGAGCTTTGCGGACGATAGTGGCTCTTCTGACAAACTGCTTACCGCAGCCACTTCCACACGCCTCACCCAAAAACAGAGTCACGCTATCATAAACAGTGATCATGACACTATTACCAACTACTAGGGCCTCAACAACCTACTGAGTTCCAATAATGCTTCCAAAATTCAAGTAACAGTATTCTCAAATAAAAAATCTTCCGCCAATGATAACCCAGTTATAAGGATGTGGGGACAGAACCTTTCTATCAATCCCTCAGTATCTCTTATCAGGTTGACCGCATCGCCAAACTTGGCAAGACCATGTAACTTCGGTCGCCAAGACCTCTTCTCAAAAATTAGGTTCTTTGTTTCGTGCAAAAACCTTCTTCCTGAACAACTTTCACTATATAAGGCTCAAATCAGACCATGTATGGAATAGTGCTCGAGCGATGCTCCTAAGCATTCATTGGCTCTATTAGATGCAGTACAAAAAAGAGCAATAAAAATAATCGATAATCCAACTCTCACCGATTTATTGGAGGCAAGGTGGTCGACTTGTCGTTATTCTATCGCTATTACCATGGGAGATGTTCTGACGATCTGGCCAGCCTCATTCCAACTAGGAGAAGTTAGAGGGTATAGAGAAAGAGAACAATTTAAACTTAAAATGTTTACACAGATAATTAATTGTCACATGATTTCTTTCACTCATGGTATCGCTTAGGTAGTATATACTTTGTCTTTTGTGAGCAAACCATTAAAAAAAAGGACAAGTTCACCCAACCTTCTTAACGGTCGCTCGCGATACCCCAAACATGCTCGGCATTGAAATCTTGAGAAACGGTACTCAGATATGGCTATATGGTTATTCCAGATAAAAGATTATCGGATCAAAACTCGATTCTTCTCACTAATGGTGCTAGGCCAACTCCTGTCAAGACAGTAATTAAAAGTTACTATCAAACGTAGAAGAAAACTTGGGAATTCCAGTAATCAACTCTACGTGGACGCTCGAGCAAGTGACACGCCTATTTGAAGAGCTTGTTCTACAGACAAGAGCTACACGACTACGAGAAGAGCTTCATGGAACCGGTATCTCCTACCCCAAAATAACCTTTCAGTAATCCCTTAAGAGCCGTGATCGATCTACTGAGAGAAAAAAAATAAAATAAGGAGAAGTCACTCCGGAATAGGGGTAGAGCAGATCAACGCATATCGGTCAACTGACACGACCAAATTCTCAACTATGCTCTCAATGAGATGAGAGAAAACAGGTGGAAAGCGAGGCTCGAACTGTTAGGCACTCTAAGCCATCATTCCGCCCAGAGAAACGGTAATAATACTGTTGCTCGGATGAGATGGAATTGTATATTCCAGACAATATCGCGGACAATGGCCG